TTTTTATTTATTTATTTATTTATTTATTTTTTGCTTTTTTGAAAAGATAACCCTCAGTAACTGCTTATGGTGCATTTATAATTAAAAATTTTCAAGTTTTTAATACTTGGGCTTCGTTACTACTCTGAATCATAAATTAACCAATTTTCTAATTGACATTGAAACATATGAAGACATCTTCTCAGACAAGGATTGACAGTTACTTTGAATTGCAATGGGGATCTTCTGAATACTGCTTTGTAAGTTCTGTTTGATGGATGAATGAGTGCATGAGGGGTAGACCTAGACTGGCCTTGCACTGAGACCCTCAGTGATCTAATTGTGCATATTTCTGTTTCATGGCGCCACTGTGTTTCAAAGATTTTGCTTGCCTTGTTCCATTATAAGATGTATAAGTTTTGCTTTAGAGAATGGGCTGAATGGAATGTAAAGGTTATCCAGTGTTTCAGCAAATATTGCAATTGTCATATTCAGTGTTATTGACTTTTAGGAATTCAGGCAGCTCTTATCTAGATTCTGCAGTGGGTGGTGAGTCAGAGATGAAGCTATTATTGGATAAAACAAAAAAGCAAAGTGCTATCCAGTAAGGAGCAACCACATGGCTAATGAAAATGGGTGATAAGAAATGTTTCAGCTGTCATGTAGTTAATGCAAAGAGAAGATGAAGAATGTTACTGAAATCAGCTGGCATCATGTTTAGGACAAGGGGTGATGGAAGAGGCTTGGCAACTGTATTCTAAGGAGAAGAAACAAAAAAACAAACTCCATGGTTTTTGTCCACAAGCAAATTATACCGACCGCTGTTTGTCGGTGAAGTTAGTGCCAACTTTAGCAGATAGAGGGTGTCGCATGGTCAGCAAAACGAATCCCCATGGCCATTAGTTTCGGTTTTCTAGACTGGAGCTGCTCTTTCCTTGAAATAGCTCCTTAATTATCCTCACTAGGCTGAGTGGACCCCAGTCCAGACCCACTACTTCTCAGAGAATCTAGTAGCGCCAGGAGTCAAACCTGGACCTCTAGGTCTCTAGCCAAGAACTCTGACCACTAGACCACAGAGGCGGTCATTTTAAGGAGAAGAGGTGACATAAATATTATAGGAACCATATGCTTGGGTAAAGAAATGTTGAACAAGTTTTTTAGTGAACTTACTGATAGGAGAATAGAAGGAAGAGAGCTCCTTTCTCTGAGCCTTTTGCTGCTCCTTCCAGGACATACAACAGAGCAGTAAGGCCAGATCTCACAATGAAAGCAACATGACGAGGACCACATAGCATTTGTACTGTACCTCCAAGGCACTGCTGGCTGCATCTTCACATTGCTGAAGAAAAAGAGCCTTTGTAGAATCCATAATCCTGCTTCAGGTCCACCAAAGACAGACAATCCTCAGCTTATAAATTATGTTTACAGATCCTTTGCTCATGTGGCATGGTGTACATTGGCCAGATAATCCACCATATATCTATGAGGATTTCTGAACACATCAGAGACACCAGAGTGGTGTTCAGCAGCTGAACATTTCACAGAGACAGAATGCAGCATCATCTGTGACAGAACAGGTTTTACCCAACATATGGTCACACGTACCATTTCTGTATCATCAAGGAAAGAATTAAAAAAAAAACTAGTATCCTTGTAATTTCACCTGTCCGTCCATACCTACCACACAATCACCATCCAACAGCTACTGAACCTAGTCCATGCAGACCTTCATCTGGCCACCATGAACGTTTTCTTCCACTTCTTTTCTGTCCATGTTGCTGGAAAGAAAGAATTCATCACTTCATTTCTTAACTATGTGATCACTAAAACCTCTTTTATTGCCTCTTCGTAACACATGATAGCTAAGAACTTTCCCATCACCTTGTCTTAAATGTGAGATCACTGAAACATTTTCCATCACCTCTTTTCAGGACAGTCTGATCGCCAAAAAATTTATATTGCCTTTTTCAATAACTATGTTGTTGCTTCAAATTGGATAGCAGCTCATTTCTTTGTTGATTGCTGTGATGTGTCTGTTCATTGTGCTGCAGCATAGATATGACATTGTAGTACATAGATACAGTAACAGCAATTTGATTTACAACTTTTGTGAATTGCATTGTTTGTAGAGAAAAAGTGGAGAGATAAGTAGCGGGATTGCAGTGAGCAAGTACAAGGAATTGGGATCACATACACTGGGTGGCCGCAAGACAGTTATTGGCCTGAAGATCTCTGAGTACCATCTTATGATGAAAAATCTTGACAGTGTACTGCTGAAGAGGCTTAAGGTAAGTTGGATTGATTGTGTAGTATGAACATAAGGGAACACATGCATGTGACTTTGATATGTAGAAGTACTATTACTATTATCGTTGCAATATCTTGTCATATAATGTGGCTATTTCTTTCATTGTTACTAAATCTAGATAAGATTTGGTCACCTGAATTCAATCCACACACTCACATCCTACTGCTCTAATACCCATCTGTGAATAGGTATCTTGAGTGATCTCTTCCTTCCAGGTTTTCTGATTAAAGTTGTATATGGATTTATCATGTCTTCAGTGCATGCTACATGAACTGACCATCTTAGAATTATATAAATCAATATTATTGTATTAACATTTGTTTATTGTTCTGTATCTGCTATATTATGAAAACAGCTTATTAGCTGTTTTATGCCATTAGTTTGTTCTGCATTTTGGTGAAAAGACATATTCATATACTTCATTTTCTATTTACTTGCTTTCAGAATCAGCCTCCTTATCCTCTAACAGCTACAAATTAAAATTCATCAACTGCAGCTTTAATACCATAGCAAACACAGCATACAAAAGCTAACAAATTGCCACATTAAAACTTCTGACCACAAACCATATTGTAGGATCTCCACACACCTTCATTTCTAAAGATCTATATGAATTATATCTATGTTACACATTTATTGCATTAATAAAATCACTTTTCAGTTCAACTCTTTTTCATATGACAATGCTAAATAGCTCGTTCATCAGCACTGGATGTTTCATTTTGAGAAGCAACTGTTCAGTAGCACATCTCTACAAATAATGTGCTATGGGCTGTCCATGTAACACTTCTTATACATTCTTTGGACAAAGTGAATAAAATGAATGCATAATTATTAGGTCTGTTCACATGTTGTATCTCAGCTTTTAGTACTGGGGATCAATAATAAAACACTGTAAACAAATTTAAACTTCTGGTTTGTATTGGTTCAGTATACTTTAACTGTTAACTTTAACCGTTCAGCGTGGTTTGACGTGTATGTTTCGTCAAGGTATTTAAATCGTCTGCGGGGGTTCGACGTCAATGTTTCATCCAGCTGCACACCTATGTTATAACGCCCATAATAATTGATGGTTTTGCCATAGATTGTTAGATTTTTCGCTGGCCTGTTGTCAGTAGTTCAGAGTATAATAATCCACGAGTTTAGCTGCGCTAATTCATCGTTACATATGCCTGTCTTGCAGCAAAGTTCCTGTTGCTCTTGGGAGAGGTTTCTCGGTACTACTGTTATGAAAGGCCTGTTTTTCTTTCCTATGAACTTATAAACAGCAGAGACGTGATATGTGCTGTGTTTATAATATATTGCCCTGAGCTGGCCACACTAACACACTCAATTGGAATTCTTAGAAGAGGGATGTCCAAAAATTTATTCTTGCAAGATCGATTGATTTCGCACAGTATATAGCACCCAGTTCTTAGAAAAACGTCACGAATTAAGGCAGAACACTGTGGTCACCCCCTGAGACGATACGGATGTGTGTGGGGGAGGGAAAAGAACTCATTCCTTCATGTATTATCGCTCCAGTTGACGCCATTTTATCGTACTGACCTTGGTGGTCGTTTCGAGGGATGACCATAAATATTTTTTTTGAGCCAGCTAAGCTCTGCTTTCGTTCACTATATACCAGCCAGTTCTCAGAATAACTTCATGAATTCTGTGGTCACCCCTACGACATCTGGGGCAGCCAAAATGGTTGGAATCTGAAACGCAGAAGCACCAACCCCTTNACCGAGATACCGGGCGCTCATATTATAAGGCAAAGTTATAAAACAATCTTTTAAGATCATTTTAGTGAAAGTTTCATGCTTCAAGGCGTACGATACACTGCTCAAATTCTAAACCAACTGCTTCCATTGCCGAGATAACGGGCGCTCATATTATAAGGCAAGGTTATAAAACCACCTTTTAAGATCATTTTATTGAAAGTTTCATGATCCTATCTCATATAATTTAAGAACAATGATGAATAAATCATTTTCGAGCAAAATTTAAATGGACGGCTGAATATATTACCGCCGGAGAGACACGGCAGCGGAATTTAAATGACCGCATCAAAGGGTTAAATTTAACTGGAATCGATTTTCATCATTTCCATTTTTCAAAAAGATCTTATTGTGCAAGAAATTGGTGTATGACAGTATGATCTATGGCAAGGGCCATCAACTTCAAACTGCGGAGGGGCTACATTCGCCCCTGTGTAAATACTTGTGATCAGCATTATAAAAAAATATTTTACTTTATGATTAAAGATCTGTCTTGCAGTGATGAAATCTATGAAGCACATAAAAATTGGAACTATAACTTTAAAAAATATTTAAATCATGAAATGATGTCAGATCAGTGGTATTTAAGAATTAGCCACTGAAGATTTGCTGGATTGTATTGATATTCTATATGATCTTGATGTTATATTACTTTATGCTTTTCTTATTTAATATGTATAACATGAAATCAATTAACAGTTATGCAAAGTATTTCAGTTTTTTTTTTTTCCCCCGCCTCCTTTCTTGAATAGGAGGAAACTGTTAACACATATTTTGGGAGAACAGAAGGATATACTCTCAGGCTGCACAGAACCAAGAGGCATGTGCCAAATATGTTGCCAGCCAGACAGCAGTGATCTGCAGTGTTTCTTTGAAACACTTTGCAGTATAGGTGAATATATAAAGGGATACAGGGAGACATAATTTGTGAATATATCTATAATTTGATCAACTAAGTAACAGTTAATTTTATTTTATTAATAATAAAATTATTTTTAATAATTTAATAATAATAAAATTAATTTTATTAATTGCAGTAAATGAATGTTAAGGAAGTGAACTGCGTGGTATGTAGAATGTGAATAAAGAAAATCAACCAGTGATTCGTAAGAGTATAAAAATACAAAATTAATGAAATAATCTGGTGTATGTGTGTGTTTCTTGAAACATTTAATGGAGATGGAGTAATTGGTAACATTGAAATGTTTGGCATTTCTCTGTAGGCTAGGCTCTTGTGTATGGCATTCTAATTCATTGTTTTTATTTGAAACAGGATGGGAATGAAGACCTGAAAATGGAAGCAGAAGATGATCCAATGGGTGTGCTTAAGAGAATTTTGGAGGAATTGAATTTGGATGCTGAATTCAATGGAATTGGAACTATTGAATGTGGTTAGTCATACTTTACTTACAGTATTTTTTCTTTTATTGCTAGTGGGGTGAGACTTAAGTCCCTTGTACTGTGGCCACTTCTGGCCTATTGTACCGGCCCCAGATGATAGGTGAGGGTGATTGTGGAGCAATTGGTGGAATGAAAGAAGTTGGCAGGGGAAACCGAAGTACTCAGAGAAAACCTGCCCCAGCGCCACTTTCTCCACCACAAATCCCACTTTACCAGACCCGGGATCGAACCCAGGCTACCGCGGTGGGAAGCCAGTGACTAACCGCTTGAGCTATGGCACGACCTCTTACTTACAGAGCGAGGATAGTGCAGTTGGTATAGTGACTGGCTACAGGCTGGATGACAAGGGGTCGGAGTTCAAATCCTAGTAGAGACTAGATTTTTTTCATCGTCCAGGCTGGTTCTGAGGCCTACCCAGCCTCCTATCCAATGGGTACCCAGGGGTCTTTTACCTGGGGTAAAGCGGCTGGGGCAGGAAGCTGACCACTCAACTTCAAAGAGTTCTGAGGTCAAGAATACATATATCTCTATACATCCCCTCCCCCATACATTTTCATGGCATAGCACTTGACTTAGTTAGCACAGGGAGAACTTCACTTTTATCCTACATATAAGGTGCCCCAGGAGGAAAGGTCAGTATTCTGGGAAGTAATAGTATCGGTTATTAAATAAAATGTATATATGTACATGTGTCCTTTTCCGAACAGTCTCAGAGATAGAGCTGTTTCACTGTACAATTCCAATATTTATGATAAGAAAGATATTACGTACTGTTTCTAATATCAGTATTTATTGTTTAAGTGACAAAGTTGGTACTGTTTACGTAGTGTAACACATTTTCGAAAATTCCTTCAACATCAGTGCTAAATAAATGTTTACAGTCAATATATTGGGTCTGTTAATATGAAGCATTGTTCAGTTAAATGTGAAAGTTTCTTACCATGCCAGAATTTCTTAATCTTATTAAAATCAGTTCTGATCATTATTGTTACATTGAGGACCTTAGTATTGACACTTCGATGATTATGTTGCATCTAGGAGCAGTGTGTTTCTCACAGTGCTGCACAACTGTCAGTTTAATTACAGAATTTAACTCACAGGACCCATATATTTATTGCCACTGGTACAAATGCCTACCATTGGACCATATCCTGAATCAGTGTAGTCTGCTTCACATCCTCACCCTCTCTTTCTCCAAGATCTAAATGTTATTTTCTAAACTAACCTTCATATTTATTTATTATTTCCTCCATGTATGCTTCATGTCCTGCCCATCTCATGTTAGATATAAACACCTGAACAGTATCAGATGGACAAAAATTTGCATGATACTACATTATGCAGTTTTCTCCATTCTCCTGTTCTTTCTCTCTCATATACATGGTTTCTCTTGCCATGCATGAAATTATGATAAAGAGCTATATTTTGTTACTAGTGTGTTTTCTGCATATATAATAAATATTGCAATATATAGTTTAGTTTTTAACAAGGCTTTTCAATAGTGTGTCCATCTAGTTTCCTGCTCTCTCCAGATCAGAAAACAATTCTCCTGTCCATATCTACAAGCCTGCAGTCTGTTGTGTTTGGGACTGCTACCACAGAGGAGGAAGCTTGTAAGATGGCAGCAACAAATGCACTGGAACACCTGAAACTCATGTCTTCCTGAGGTATTGACAGCTTCTTCTGATCACTGAACATTTTTTTGAAATATTTCTTGCACATCTCTCTCTTTTTTTGTTTTGAATCATATTGCATACTGAATATGAGACAAGCTGAACTGTTCATTTACCCACTTATTTATTGAAGTTATAATTTACATAGGCTTATATCAACTTAACACCAGGTTGTTGCCCTGTATGGTTCTTAACTTAACTTAATTTAATTAAATTACCTTCTAATTTTCTTATTGAAATTTACATTGTATCTGTTCAGGCAGTCTACATTTTTCATCTTCCTTGCTCTGTTTTTCCTTTCACATTTAACTTTGAATTAAAAGATCAGCTATTTATTTGTAAATGACATATATTAAATTTACAATGTCTGTGTATAAGCTAAATAAACTTGATGTGAGAGTATATAAAAATATTAAAAATGAAGATTGTTTTGAGTTATAGGTTAGTCTTCGGTATTTGTGTTTACTGTTTCTAGTGTTTTAGAAACGATTATAGCCAGCATAGGCTGAATCATTTTCTTAAAGGATACAGTGGTCTCATTATGAAGACAGTTGAAAGTGATTCATTTCAGAAGCATAAAATACTGTAAAAATGTGTATGCTATTACTCTCATAAATTGTGCTCTTTTGTGTAAAGTATTTCATTTATTTCATGTGTTTTCGCAATGTTGTGAACTGTGATTGGGACTTACTGAATTATTTTGTAATAGTATAGTTTCTTGAATAATAAAAATGTTGAATTCTCTATGAAATTGCATGTTTATTTTCATCTAGAAATGTAAATGTAAATTCACATTAATGGCCATTCAAAGATGATTTGTTATGTAAGAATCATGCAGACCATGTTAGGTGGGTCCCTTGTCACCACGGCATGGCACATCCTCAGGTTGTGGATGGAGGAGACACCCTCCAGGTATGGAGGGATGCTGCGAATATATATTGAATAAGCAGTCATGGACAGCCAACAAGGGGTGGTCCTCCAGCTTGGGGGTTGGGCATGGGGCTAACAACTCCTCACCTAAAAAAGAATTATGTTACGAAAATTCTCAAGAAGCCTCAGACCTGGACGGATTCTTTGGACTTAAGCTAAAGAAAATGGATATTAGATTTGATACATGGAATGTTCGAAGTATATACAGGGCAGGTTTGCTCAGGGCAGTGGCGGAAGAGATCTTAAAATATAAGTTAGATTTGGCGGGGGTATAGGAGGTCAGATGGGATGGAGGAGATATTGAACTAGCAGGTGGATATACATTTTTCTATGGAAAGGCGAATGAAAATCTTGAATTAGGTACAGGTTTCTTCATACATAAGAGAATCGTATCAGCAGTTAAGAGGGTAGAGTTCGTTAGTGATAGGATAGCATATATAATACTAAAAGGTCGCTGGTGTGATATCATCGTTACAAATGTTTACGCCCCAACAGAAGATAAAATTGATGACATAAAGGACAGGTTCTATGAAGAACTAGAACATGTATTTGATAAATTCTTGAAGTACCCTACGAATATTTTGCTAGGAGATTTCAATGCCAAAGTAGGGAGGGAAGACATTTTCAAACCAACAATTGAGAATAAGAATTTGCATGACATTAGTAATGATAATGGAGTTATAGTAGTAAGCTTTGCCACATCAAAAAATCTGTCATAAGTACAATGTTCCTGCATCGTAACATCCATAAATTTACTTGGACATCTTCTGATGGGAAGATACACAATAAAATAGACCACATTTTGATAGATAGGAGACGGCATTCAAGTAGAATTGATGTCCAATCATTCAGGGCAGCAGATTGTGATACTAACCACTACCTGGTAGTGGCAAAGGTCAGGGAAAAACTGGCAGTGAGCACATATACAACTCACAGAGTTCATATGGAGAGGTTCAATCTCAAGAAATTAAATGAGGTAGAGAGGATAAAGAAGCAGTATTGTGTTGAAATCTCAAATAGGTTCACAGCCTTTGAAGACTTGGACACTGAGGTGAATGTTAATAAAGCTTGGGAAACTATTAGAGAGAATATAAAAATTTCTGCCAAGGAAAGTATAGGTTATTATGAACTGAAGAAGCATAAGCCATGGTTCAATGAAGGATGCTTGAAATTACCAGACCAAAGAAAACAGGCCAAATTGCAATGGTTACAGGATCCAAGTGAAATACATAGGGATAATCTGAACAATATAAGACGCAAAACCAGCAGGCATTTCAGGACTAAAAAGAGGGAATATCTGAAAGTCAAAATTGATGAATTTGCAATGAATAGTAAGAACAAGAACATTAGACACCTGTATAGTGGAATAAATGACTTTAAGAGGGGATACCAACCTAGAAGTAACTTAGTGAAGGATGAGAATGGTGATCTGCTTGCAGATTCCCACAACATTTTGAATAGGTTGAACTACTTCTCTGAGTTATTGAATGTACATTGGGTAAGTGATGTTAGGCAAATTGATATGCACACAGCTGAGCCGCTAATACCTGATCCCAACCCTTTTGAGGTTGATGTTGCTTTTGCAAAATTGAAAAGGTATAAATCACCAGGTAGTGATCACATTCCGGCAGAACTTGTTCAAGCAGGAGGCGAAATATTATGTTCTAAGATCCATAAGCTAATTACTTATATTTGGCATAAGGAAAAATTGCCTGATCAGTGGAAGGAATCTATTACTGTACCAGTTCACAAGAAGGGTGATAAAACTGACTAGTAATTATCGGGGATATCACTGCTACCAACTTCATACAAAATTTTATCCAATATTCTTCTCTTAAGGTTAAGTCCATATATAAATTAAATGATTGGGGATCATCAGTATGGGGTTTGACATAACAGATCAACTACAGATCAGATCTTTTGCATTTGTCAGATATTGGAGAAAAAATGGGAGTACAATGAGACAGTATATCAGCTATTTGTAGACTTCAAGAAAGCCTATGATTCAGTTAGGAGAGAAGTATTGTACAATATTCTGGTAGAGTTTTGGATACCCATGAAACTAGTTAAGCTGATTAAAATGTGTTTAAACAAAACTTACAGCAAGTCCATATAGGTAAACATTTGTCTGATAAATTTCCTATCCAGAATGGTCTAAGAAAAGGAGATGCTTTATCACCACTTCTTTTCAACTTTGCTTTAGAATATGCAATTAGGAAGGTCCAGGAAAACCAGGTGGGACTGAAATTAAATGGGACATCAGCTTTTGGTTTATGCCGATGATGTGAATCTACTGGGTAATAATGTAGATACCATAAAGAAAAACACACAGACTTCAACTGACACAAGTAAGGTGGTTGGTCAAGAAGTAAACACAGAGAAAACCAAGTATATGTTGCTCTCTCATCACTAGGGACCGGATTTTTATGCCCTAATAATCCCATGAATATGTATGCATTTATGCATGAAAAACTTCTGAAATGTGCACTAAAATATGCACATAAAAATGTATACCAAATATTAAAATTGATTTTACATTATTTTAAGACAAACAGATCAATATTTAAGTTCATTTTATGTAATGACTGAATGATTCACTTGCAATAAAAGGTTATACTTAAATACAAATCATGCAACAAAGCCAACATATTTCATTACAAAATTAAAAAAAAAAACAACGGTACTCACAGTTAGCTCTCCAAACTTTCAACTTCTCTTCTGTTGCAGTTCTCAGTTACTAAATGTTTTAGGTTTTCCATAGTTAGTCGCCTCCTATTGTCTCGTAAGATGTCCTTATAGCGGGAAAAACTTCTTTCCATCTCACAGGAACTTAGGGGTGCATGTACAAAAGCCGCTATTTGCTCCACTGTTAGTGATTTTTTTACTTGGCAGTTCAATACGTTTACCGGCTAAAATTTCTTCATATCCTAGACTTTTTTAAAGAATGCTGTGTACTTTTTCCTTTACTACTTCACCAACTCTTCCAGGGACCGAATTCAATTTGGAAACAGTGGTTTTGAACACACTTAAAGACTGATACAAAGTAGTATTGCTATTGCTTGCCTCCACTGAGGAAATGGCAGATGGAAGATGAGAGAAGTGCGCAGATATATAGGAAAGATTAGTTTCTAGTTCTGTGTTTTTTAGTGCATCTTGGGCAATCTGAATTGATGCTGCACTTTTGGGATCAAATGTATTCACGACATTCCTGTTTCAAAATGTTCGGTATAATAACTCGCTGCACACAGCCACGTGCCCCAGCGCATTAAAATTGCTTTGGCGGAAGTGGAACGCTCGGTGCTACTGCTTTAAAGGCTTCTTTTCTGTATGGTGCTTTAACAAATACC